TCTCTTTTGAATTATTTCCCACATCATAAGGTGAACTACAGTTGTTAACATCCTCGTTGTGTTGCCACTGGTGAATAAATGTTTCAGTGGCAATCATATAACATTTTCTTATTTTATATAAAAATCGACGCACCCAGTCTCCCTCCGTATGGTGTTCATTCGAACCCATAAGTATTTAAAAAAAATAATACGGATGTTTTTTGAAAATGGATAAACGCATTTTGAACATCTGTTTACTACTGTTACATAATTATTTCCCTAGAATTAGCTATAAAAAGTTTTCTATTAAAGTTAAAAGTTCATATAAATATCTTGTGTTTCACTACATAGGTTGTGTAATATCATAAAAGTTTCCCCATTTCCCAATAAACAATTTGGCTCCATAAACTGTCAAATACCTTTTAAAGCAAACAAAAAAAGCCAACTTTTTGCCATTTAACATATTTAAATACTTATTTACGCATTTTAAATATAATTATATCATCTGTGGTTAAAAACCTGTTCATGTAGTTTTGAAACCTTTTTATGGTCATTTCTCGTTTTTGTCGAGCCTGCGACTTTTGTCACAGAAAGCTCGACATAGGGATAGTGATCCGGCGGCGGCGGCGGCTACAGCGGCGGCGGCGGCGTTAGCTAACTTCTTAAAAGCTTTATATTTTAGAAGGTGGAAGACCTGGATGCTTCATACTTTGTATATAGATGCCTCATGTTACGAAGTTTCCGTCAGTCACATGTCCAATGTCCTTGACCTCATTTTCATGGTTCAGTGACTACTCGAAAAAAAAGTTCAGATTTTTTGGAATGTTAAATTCTCTCTTATTATAAGTAATAGGATAACTATATTTGGTATGTGCGTACCTTGCAAGGTCCTCATGCCCATGAGATAGTTTTCACTTGACCTCGACCTCATTTCATGGATCAGTGAACAAGGTTAAGTTTTCGTGGTCAAGTCCATATCTGAGATACTATAAGCAATAGGTCTACTATATTTGGTGTATGTAATGCTAGTAAGGGGTACATGTCCAACTGGCAGGTGTCATCTGACCTTGACCTCATTTTCATGGTTCAGTGGTCATAGTTTAGTTTTTGTGTTTTGGTCTGTTTTTCTAATACTGTATGCAATAGGTCAACTGTATTTGGTGTATGGAAATATTGTACGATGTTCATGTCAGTCTGGCAAGTCTTATTTGACCTTGACCTCATTTTCACGGTTCATTGCTCAATGTTAAGTTTTGGTTTTGGTTTGTTTTTCTAATACTGTATGCAGTAGGTCAACTATATTTGGTGTATGGAAATATTTTTATGATGTACATGTCAGTCTGGCATGTTTTATTTGACCTTGACCTCATTTTCAAGGTTCATTGCTAAATGTTAAGTTTTTGTGTTTTGGTCTGTTTTCCTAATACTGTATGCAGTAGGTCAACTATATTTGGTGTATGGAAATATTTGATGATGTACATGTCAGTCTGGCAGGTTTTATTTGACCTTGACCTCATTTTCATGGTTCATTGCTTATGTTAAGGTTTTGTGTTTTGGTCTGTTTTTCTTACACTTTAAGCAATAGGTCAACTATATTTGGTGTAAGGAATGATTGTAAGGTGTACATGTCTAGCTGGCAGGTGTCATTTGACCTTGACCTCATTTTCATGGTTCAGTGGTCAAAGTTAAGATTTTGAGTTTTGGTCTTTTTTTCTAATACTATATGCAATAGGTCAACTATATTTGGTGTATGAACATTTTATGATCTTTATGTCAGTCGCGCAGTTTTTATTTGACCTTGACCTCATTTTCACAGTTCATTGCTCAGTGTTAAGTTTTTGTGTTTTGGTCTGTTTTTCTTACACTATAAGCAATAGGTCAACTATATTTGGTGTATGGAAGAATTGTTAGCTGTACATGCCTGCCTGGCATGTTTCATCTGACCTTGACCTCATTTTCATGGTTCATTGGTCAATGTTTAGTTTTCTTGGTTAATGTTAAGTTTATACGACAGTTGTAAGAAAGCTTTATATTTAGGACTATCAACATAATATCAATGATTAGTAAAGAAGGCGAGACATTTCAGCGTGTGCACTCTTGTTTATATAGATTAGACCGTTGGTTTTCCTGTTTGAATGGTTTTACACTAGTCGTTTTGGGGGCTATTTATAGCTTGCGGTTCGGTGTGAGCCAAGGGTCTGTGTTGAAGGCCGTACTTTGACCTATAATGGTTTACTTTTACAAATTGTGACTTGGATGGAGAGTTGACTCATTGGCACTCATACCACATTTTCTTATATCTATTGGCAAAGTATCGTTTTCATTGAAAATGTCAAGCCTCATTTGTAATTGTCTTGTAGACGCATATTTCTCTTTAATTAGGCTAATCTACTCTTGGAATACACTTTACGAAACTGTTGCCAATGAACGTAGTATGGCAAAAACAATAAACCAATAATCAACCAAAACAGTGTTTTCTTTGTCTTATAAAAGACAAATTATTCATGTGTCAAAATAAATCATGTCGCATACATTGAATGATCTCAGTTTACCAGTTAATTCTCAGTTATAAGATGTTGAAAGCAAGGGATTGGGAGAAGGTTATGGATACCAATCTTCATGAAATTCACTACGCAGTTCTCATAAAATGCCGTAAATAATGATCGCAGAATAAGAAAAAAAATAATTTACGACTTTAAATTAGCACCGAGTCTAGACAGACTGTGAATGAAGTGAACAGAATATTTTTAATATTTGACATCATGTTTATATAATTTTTTATTACCATAATGATTCGATGACATCAAGAGATCAAAGTTAAATGTAAGGAATTATCCACAATACATGATATATTTCATAACAAATATTTCAATTATGATAACTCTCCGAATAACAACAAATTTGATAATTAAATTAATAGTTCCCCAAGTTCAAAATCTAAATACCATTGCTAACAAGTTTTGGATATGTTGTGATGTTCGAGCTCCACACTTAACAACAAGTTTCACCGCAAAAATGTGCATTACCATGGTGATTCGATGCCATCAAGAGATCAAAGTTAAATGTAAGGAATTATCCACAATATTTCATAAAAAAAATTTCAATTATGACAAGCATTTTGAGAGTATTGCATGGCAATACATAGTCCCCTACCGGTTAAAATTCATTGTACCGGAATAAAATACTAACTTGATCTATATCGTGTCATGATGTAAACTATATAACAAATATCAAGTCAATATCTTCAAGCATGACGAAAAAAAGTGTGGAAAACTGATTATTTAAGTGAATTTCCTAAGTCCAAGGACCATAACTCTGCTCAAAATCATCAGACCGTAACAAAATTTGAACGTGATCTGTAACTTGTCATGATAAAACTATATACCAATTACCAAATCAATATTTTCAAGCATGATGAAAAAAAGTGCGGAAAACTGATTATTTGAGTGAATTTTCTAAGTCCAAGGACCATGACTCTGCTCAAAATCATCAGACCAGAACGAAATTCGAACTTGATCTGTAACTTGTCATGATAAAACTATATACCAAATATCAAATCAATATCTTCAAGAATGACGAAAAAAGTGCGGAAAACTGATTATTTGAGTTAATTTTTTAAGTCCAAGGACCATAACTCTGCACAAAATCATCAGACCAGAACAAAATTCGAACTTGATCTGTAACTTGTCATGATAAAACAATTATACACCAAATATCAAATCAATATCTTCAAGCACGAAGAAAAAAGTGTGGAAAACTGATTTGCCGGACTGACGGATGGACAGACAGACAGACAGACGGGCGGAGTATAACCTTAAGTCCCCTTCGACTTCGTCGGTAGGGGACTAATAACTCTCCGAATAAAAACATATTTGATAACTAAATTAATAGGTTCCCAAGTTCAAAATCTAACATGTTTTGGATATGTTGTGATGTTCGAACTCCACTCTTTACAACAAGTTTAACCGCAAAAATGTGCAGTTCGTGAAAAAATTATTATACAATGCATCATGATTTCATTTAGATGCATGAACAAGTTTAATGAAGCAGATGGTTGTCTGTCATAAGATGATAAACGTATGGGATTGCTTGAATTTCTTGGGTACCAGATATAAATGTTAATCTATATATCAATGTATAGACTAGAAAAGAATAGTTTTCTTCACCAAATTACAAGGGCCCCGTGGGGGCATGTAACACATATCATTCTAAACATTTGCAGAACAAAAATTACAATGTATATGAGTTATCCGTTTGCTTCTATGGCGAATTTGTCATACAATGTATATGAGTTATCCGTTTACTTCTATGGCGAATTTGTCATGCTAAGGTGAATGAGAGGAATCATACATATATATCATGTGTACTAAAAAGGTTAAAGTTGTAAGTATTTGTCAAAAGATGATTGTTTGGGGAAACAAAGTAAGTGCAGACATAAAATGTTTAGTCCATTAAAGAGCGGGGACCGTATGGTTACTTTATGTAGTCCATTAAAGAGCGGGGACCGTATGGTTACTTTATCAAACCTAGAATTCATAATGTCTAACAACATCAATACTGCTCTCCGAAAATGTCATGAAAATGAATATAACACGTTATAAATCTGGTGCGTCCAAATTGCTTTTTTGGATTTACCTTCTTCAGGAACGCTCAAAACCGGGGGCATAAAAAGAATAGTCAATTCATCTTAGGTTTACTTTGCCTGAGGGAGTTGGAACCATATTTTCTAAATAATTTCTTATTTTATCAACGGGAAATTTAAGTACTGAAGCACTGACTGATGAACTTATGATACCCTCGTGGACTTGCATTCCATCAGTTGATGTATTGACCAAGTGTTAGAAAATGAATATAACTCTTTATAAATTTCGTGCTATTTATTGTATGTCCCTCTTTTCGTCATATAACTCTGAACGTGTTTTGTTACTTGTACATCCGTGGATTTCAAATCTATTTGGCTTTGAGCGTTCCTAATGAAGGTAAATTCTGAAAAGCGCTTCGGACGCATAGAAATAACAAAGTACTACATGTATTTTAATTTTTTTTGGAAAATATATAACAAATATGTTAGACTGAAATATTAAAGATTGAAATAAACACCTCCGATTATTTTCGATAATCGCCAATGGTTTATTTTCGAATGACAAACACTAGTATCTTAAGTGAGACAAATATATTTAGTATACCGAAAAATGTGAACAGAATTTAATTACCGAATGCCGTAATTTCTGTCGAAGATGAAAAAAAGAAAAGAAAAAGCATTAAACATTCAAACTTACATACATGCGAGCAATTTGATTATTTTAAGGATGTGGCAGGAAAAAATTCTTGCCAATGGAATAGTCATGTTCACCTGTTGCTAGTCCGGTTATTTAAAAGTCGAACGGAAATTTGTTTTCAATTTTTTTAGACAATTTGCTGCATTGTGAAGGACTGATTATGTATTTTCGTCCTGTCTTGGGCAATATCATTTTTCTTGAGTTCTTACCAGGCAAAAATATTTATTCCAAGTCCCCCTGACCATACAAAAAATGTGTTATCTGTTACCTCACGAGGGTTTTTCGTTTTCTACATAGTTTTGAAATTTAGTGATGGCGCAGAGCGTTTGGAAAATTTGACTTTTTCAGCCTAAAGTCACAGATCGGATTTGATCATGTTGTAGCAATATTTATATATAATATTCGTTAAAATAAACAATGTCTATTACTGGAAAAACAAACAAGAAAAATACATGTGGTATCAAAGAGAAAAGCACATGGTTTAATCATTTCTTCCTAATTATTGCGTAAATTGTAATTGGTTATACGCCAAGTATAGTATACATATCAAAACAAATGTAAAGTATAGACAACCTAGTACCCTTGTTTTATGCGTAGACTGGTATGTTCGTTAGCAAAATGCGATTTATCTAAGTACATATGTAATCATATATATATATAGTCTTTTTATGAGAAAACAAACAAGAAAAATGCATGTTAGATCAATAGAAAAGCACATGCTTGAATCACATGATTAAATTATGGGAATTTCTTAAGTTCTACGTAATAATTGTGTAAATTGTCACTGGTTGTATGCCAAGAATGACATAATGTTTCTATGAAATAAAGATCACATAGCGAAAATGTGTAAAGTATCGCTAACCTAGTACCCTTGTTTTATATGTAAACTGGTATGTTCGTTACTAAAATACGTTTTATCTTAAGTTTTATATTTATATATTTAGAGTTAAAATAAACTATTATGTCATCTAATGAGAAAACAAACAAGAAAAATTCATGTGATATCAAAGACAAAAACACATGCTTACTGTATGGGAATCTCTTCAGGTCTACCTAATTATTGCGTATATTAACATCGATTATACGCCAAGTATGACGTAAATGTTCCTATTAAATAAAGATCACATAGCAAAAAAAAAGAGGTGTATCGCCAACCTAGTACCCTCGTTTTATATGTATACAAAAAGTAAGGCTTACATAGTTCTATAGCCTCTATTATGTTTGGTGAGTGGATTCCCCCTACTTGCTTCACATAGAATTATTGGTGAATGGATTCCCCCTACTTGCTTCACATAGAATTATTGGTGAATTGATTCCCCCTACTTGCTCCACATAGAATTATTGGCACAGAATATACAGTGAAAGATTCGGGGAGATGGAGTAGAAGGCGTTCTTTGATCGGAAAAAGAAATATCATATTTTTATGCGTAAATCGTTTAAAACTAATTCGCATCCCTACGCTCGGCCGCATTTTTACCAATTTCGACAGTAACGGCACTCCTTTCTTCTGACATTTACTGCGCCCCAGATATGGCTCACATATGCAGATCAATAAGATCTATCGAAGCCCTAAATCGTTTAGTACTCAGTTCTCCTACCCAAATCTACTAGCACTTAGTTATTTTTCTGCCTAAATCTATAAATACTCAGTAATCCTGCTAAATATTCTGGTATTTAGTCTTCTTGCCTGAATCTTCTAGGGCATGGGCAATCCTGTCAAATCAACAAGTAATTAAAACTCCTTCCTAAATCTTCTAGTACTCGGCCCTCCTCCATAGATCTACTAGTACTCAGTCTTTCAACCTAAATCTACTAGTACTCAGTTATCCTGCCTAAATCTTCTTGTACTCAGTCCTGCTGCATACATCTACTTGTACTCAGTCACACAACCTAAATATATTAGTAGTCAGTCCTCTTGCCTAAATCAAATAGTAATCAGTCCTCCTGCCCACATCTTCTAGTACTCAGTACTTTTGCCTAAATCTCCTAGTATTCCGTCCTCATGCCTAAATCTACTAATACTCAATCACGCTGTCAACATCTCCTAGTACTCAGTCTTCCTGTCTAACTCTTCCAGTATTCAGTCCTCCTTTATAAATCTTCTAGTACTCAGTCCTCCTGCATACGTCAACGAGTACTCAGTTCTACAACCTAAATCTACTAGTACTCGGGCCTCCTGCCTATATATCTACTAGTACTCTGTCAGACTGCCTATATTAACTAGTACTCAAGTCCTAAACTGCCTAAATATACTTTTACTCAGTCATCCTGTTTAAATCATCTAGTACTCGGTCCTGTTTTATTCTAATACTCAGTCATTCTGCCTAAATGTACTGGTACTCAGTTCTCCTGCCTAAATCATCTACTAGTATTCAGTCCTCGTGCGTGACAACAATTGCCAGTGTATCCGTCATAAGTTGCTGGTCTCTATGGGTACTCCGATTTCCTCCACCAATAAAATCCAGTCACCATAATATAGCAGTTCACTGAAAGTGGTGTTAAATATATATAACAAATAACAAACAAACAAACATATATCTTTGCGTTGTTCAGAACACGTTTGTTTTGTTCAAACATAACTCTGTATTCTCCTTCAAATAAGTAGCCAAGATGCTTAATCTTTAAATTCTGCCGCTCTCATCTTTTACGTAGAGTGAATAATAGAAATCGACCGACATTTCTATGAGGTACACCAACAATAAACAGTGTCATGTATATGCAGTAAAGCATCAATTTCCATTTACTCTTTTAAGTGCAGATGATAAAGAGTCTTTTATCTTTTATACATGTAGCAAAGAATATATTGCAGAAGTGTTTGAGCAACACGACTCGTTCCACATGTGGAACAGGATCTGCTTACCCTTCCGGAGCACTTGAGATCATCCCCAGATTTTGGTGGGGTTCGTGTTGCTCAGTCTTTAGTTTTGTATGTTGTGTTTTGTGTAATGTTGTTTGTCTGTTTCTTTTGATAGCCATGGCGTTGTCAGTTTATTTCGACTTATGAGTTTGAATGTCCCTTTGGTATCTTTCGCCTCTCTTTTATTTGCACACGTGCACGTAACTGTCTTCTGCTTTGTTTCAATTTTATTTACCTTTCCACACAAACAATAAATAACCAGCCTATCGAACAACGGCGTTTTGAAACTCTTCCCCGACTCTCATATTCCAAGTAATGTAGCACTACACTTGACATTTCTATAAGACACATTCGGCATTGTCAATAGTTTTAAGCATAATAAAACCTAAAGAAACAAATTGGCTGCTTATGAAAGATTGCGAGGAAAAATGGATAAATATGTATTAAATATGAATAACTTTCTATTTTTTATTTATTTTGGAATCGGTGATAGTTTAATAGCGTTATCATATCGATTGTTCCTGTACAAGTTACTACCAGACAGATACATTTACTTTGATAGACAAAGTCAATAAGTTTGCTAACAAAACTACTCAATTATTCAACTTTTTGCATAAATGTGCCGTTGTTATATAATGCTAATAGTTTCCTGGAATCGTCAAATTTTATACCAGTTTAACAAGGAATGATAATAACAGGGATGGGATTGAATATATTGGATCAATGCAGCTTTTCCTTTTAGAGGAGGCGTATCACGAAGATATTCTTGCCACATTGAGAAAACTCCAGAAATTTAACATATCGTGTGGACAACTGTGGTAACTTGGTACAAGAACACCACGTAATAAAGCAAGACATGTATATGACAAAATCTTTCATACCTTTTGGTTTTAATTGGGTACTAGGAATGGCTACATCGTTCGTATGTTGTGGTTGGATTGGTGTTGAGTTGAGCATTTTTTTTTAAAAGTTTTCTCCATTCGAATATAACCAGTGAAAACATTACGTACATGTTTATTATAAGCAAGAAATATGTAAGTTTTAATTTCAAAGAACTTTATAGAGATGGAAAGCTTTAAACAGTCCTCTATTTTGTAGTTTCAAAGATCACAAACAATCCTAACATAACTGGACGCCTTCGGACAAAGGAACTACGAAGAGTACCACTAAAAGATTTCGTTAAGACACAATACTAATATATCATAAATGACCAACCAACCAACCAACAACCTATATATCCAACAAACAATGTTAGGCATAGTATGGTAAATAAGTGTAAATGAATTTACCAAAACCTATACCAGGGATGAAAGCTTTCAAACAAACGCAACAAGTGAAGTAGTCTGTAACGGACAGACGGACGGACGGACGGACTTTACGCGATGTGGCGTGGCGGTGGTGTTGAAGTTGCTTCATCTAAAGCATCCAGTGTTTGATACGTATTCAGACTTTGATACGACTGTTAATAAAGCGTTTTTAGATTATCATTTCTATTTGCCAACACATTAACCATTATTTCAATTTATTACTAAACAGTAAAGTATCGAAATCCAATCGACTGTCTACCATTTAAAAAAATCTTATTTGTCAATGTAAATAGAGGAGATCAACGAGACAACAGCAGTCAAATTACCTCGTCAAAACAGCATATGACAGTGCCCATTGTCTAGTGCACCTATTTGTCAATAAAAGACACAGCGACATGTTTGTAACGCTATGATTGTCGCTGCATCTATAAATACTAAATATTTCAACAAACAAAAAAAAAACAGAAAAGGAAGAAAAAAATCCAAAACAGACACGTGAAAAAAAGAAGATTAAATCTTTTTTGTTGAAAAGTGAATTACGCTATTAATGACGACATACCTGCAGTTACTTACGTAAATACTAAAGCCACGAGTTTTATCAATCAGGTTTTATCAATATTCAAAATAAAAAAAAAAAAAAAATAGGATACATGCTTCAGTGGTTGTTAAAACCAAATTACGTATAGAGACAACTCGAAATTTAAAGTTTGTTTTATTAAAGGAAACGGAAAGTTTTGACAATGCGCAATTTAACCACAGAGATCAAAACAAAAAACAAAAACACGTGTTCTCACAAATGTAATCAAGTAGTATAAAAAATGACTTACCTGGATGTACCTTTAGCTCAGTTACAATATATGACACTTCTGAAAATCCAGCCGTCCGAAGTCTTGCTTTCCGATGTTTGTTTTGGTCAAAGTCTTTTATTGGAACTAAAGAACTGCGTAATTCACAATTATAATGAATCAGGTCAAATTGAACATTTGCCAAGTTTTCGTCATAGCTATATTTACTAAAAGGTGTTTATTTATAAAATCTATGTATGATTCAGGGTAGCTTCTGAATCAGATATTAGAAATATATCATCAGTGGTCGGAGCGGATTCTGATATTGAGTTAAAATCTCTTCACTACTGAATGACGTCGTCAAGACTTACTTAAAAAAATATCCACTCATGACCGTTCGTTGAACTTAATAGTATTTCATTGATCGGTCTGACTAGAAAGTGATGTTACATAACAAACGTCTGCAAGTATAATGGTCTGTGTTTTTAATCGTTCACCTTAAGATCCTGATATTTAAAATCATAATAAATTAATCTAGATCAATATTTGTTTAGTTACCTAATTATGAAACGGAAAGAAAAGCAGTTTAATGCGTGCATGTACACTAAGGCGACTGAAACAGAGCGTAACAATTGACACAATGTACTACTCGTAAAATTTATTATTATATAAATGATTAAACAACTCATTCATCATAGTACATACGTATACTGGATAATGATCAAAGTATTAATTAACCTATAAGATAAAAATATGCAAACATGTATAAGTATTGGGTTATTTTGCCTCTCAACAGCGATTATATGTTATAGAACAATAAGGCAATCCGTTTTACTATTCGTTCTAATTTCAAAATATCTCATATAATATATATAAGATATCTCAAATAATATTTAAGATATTTTATGTCTTATATAATATATGTTATATCTTATATAATCTAGTTTTTATAAGATATCTTATATACTTTATAAGATATCTCATATAGTTTATAAGATATCTTATATAGTTTATTAGATATCATATATAGTTTACAACATATCTCATATAGTTTATAAGATATCTCATATAGTTTATAAGATATCTTATATAGTTTATAAGATATCTCATATAGTTTATTAGATATCTTATATAGTTTATAAGATATCTCATATAGTTTATAAGATATCTCATGTAATTATAAAGTAAATTATATGAGATATCTTATAAATTATATAAGATATCTTATAAACTATATAAGATATCTTATAAACTTTATAAGATATCTTCTAAAGTTTATAAGATATCTTCTAAAGTTTATAAGATATATTATACAGTTTATAAGATATCTTATAAAATCTATATTATAAAAGATATCTTATAAAACCTATATTATATAAGATATCTTCTAAAAATATATATTATATAAGATTTCTCAAATAGTTTATAAAGTTTATAAGATATCTCATATATTTTATATGATACCTTTTATAGTTTATAAGATATCTCATTTAGTTCATATGATATCTCATATAATTTATAAGATATCTTGTAAAGAAAATTTTATGAGGTATATAATAAATTCTATGAAATATCTTATAAACTATATAAGATATCTTATAAACTATATAAGATATCTTATAAACTATATAAGATATCTTATAAAGTTTATAAGATGTCTTGAAGTTAGAGTAAATAGTAAAACGGCTTGCCGTAGAATAAAGATTATGGTGTAGCGCACCATACACATATATCAATTTTGGTTTTTTCTTATCCTTTATATGAAATAGATTATGTCCTCTCGATGAATAATTCAAACATTGTTGACTATTGACAGCATCTATCCCTTTTAAGGTTAAAGCCTCAGGGTGACTGGGGTATAGAAATAGTTCATTTGGTTGTGCGAGATGTAAACATACTTAGCCATGTACGGTCAGAATGGGGACGCTAAATCCAATGTCTCGTGTAGATAGAGAGTTCCATGTTCTCTGCACGTTAAGAACCCTTGCAACAACTCTTTAAGGGATCCGAGGGTGGCCTGTTGCGAAGCTAAATGTCTGTTCCTATTTAACATACCCTCATTTTCCAATGGTTACCTTAATTTCCCTTCCTTCGTCCCGGTTGACTACCTATGAATACTTGATCTATCTGTAATATTTACTGTTAAATTGTTCTCGTCCTACACATATGATGACATATTTGTCACTGGCCGGAAAGCAAAAAACCAATCAATCAATCAAACTATATAAGGACTGCTTTCAAAATTTGACTAACTTGCCAAAATATGAAGGTTTCTTATCCATACAGATAAATATGAAGTCATCTCTTCTAAAATCTAACATACGTCATCATGGATAGAATTTGGGTGTCAGAGATTTCTTGTTTATTACCATCTATCACATAATGCGACTGATAACCGAATTGTTGTATGACTTTAAAAACTTCACGCCTACAATTAGTGGAACAGGAACTACTACCTTTCCGTAGACGATGTGAGATCACGCCCACAGTCTTTGATGGGGTCTTTAGTTTTTGTGTATAGTATATTCTGGTCATTTATATTCATTTTGCCATGGCATTGTTCGTTCTTCCTTTATAATATTAGTTGGTTTGTATTCCCCTTTGTATATACTTACGTTTATTTATTATTATTTTTTACTAGAACTAATATTACTACTACTTCAGACATTGATCGTTACTATACTTTTGGGCTCCCCAGATTTATCCTATTTTTGCTCCTAAAATTGATCTTTGCTATACTTTTGGGCTCCCTAGATTTATCCCATTTTCTCTCCTAAAATTTTAGTCCTAATTATTTATATAATCCAGGAAGACATAAAAATGTATTTGACCACTTTTAAACTGTTAATGATTTTCAACACCTTTGTGTATGTATAGAAAATATTTAACTTAAAGCCAATCAACTGTAAGAAGTGTGACTAAAACTTTAGTTCAAAATGGAAAGATAATCAGGGTCATTATCTTTTTTTTTGAAAGATTGTCAGCCATTTGCCTTGACATATTTTATTGAGAACCATTACACTTAATTAAATCTGACAGTTGTTTGGTCATGCATTTCTTTGATTATTGCAAGAACATCTGTTAGTCAGGCAAATATAATTATAATTCGCCATGCTATATCACAGATTTCCAATCGAAGACGCGAACGTATTGTAAAAACCTATATTTATAACCCTTAAAATTGCAACAAAAGTTAAATTCTTCGGTCCAATTAATACACTGATAAAAAAAAAATAGAATTTGCACATTCATAAATATTTAAAATCATTTAAACTGGCCAAAATGGCAATCTTATTTTAAAAGAAATTATATCACATAATATTTTAGGATAAATTGCCGTGGTTTCACTGCTGGTTGACAGTCAGTCGCCATTTTTCACTGCTACTTCAGAATCAGTCATCGTGGGTACTATATTCGACCCATACACCCCAGTTTTGATGAAGGAATAGAGTTTTCTTGCTATGCTCATTCTAGCATCAATATTGAGTCGGTTTTCATTCAGCTCTGATCTAATAATTCCAAACACGAGTTGTTTATTTAAAGGGGTATACAATATATTATCACTCAGAGTTCATTTTAGTGTAGACCTATCCATTCTTGATGACTTAAAACGGGAAATGCTTATTTGCAGGTTGCAGGTTGCGGGTTGCAGGTCACACAAGTCTCTGGTCACACATATTAATATTATATGTAAACAATCATATTAGGGGAATGAATACATATTCAATCAAACCATGACTGCTAAATTTACAAATTATATCTTATATTACACATACTGTACGGTAGAAGTATTTTGTCAGTTATCAGTTGTCAGTTTTTTTTTATCATAATCTTCAAATTCAATAATCATAATTTTAATATATGTATCTTTTGATGCTTATCATACTGCTCAATTGCTATTAATTGTTCTAGAAATTGACTCTATTGAAGTTAAAGTAATAAAAACTTCAAATTGACATAGGCTGAACAGGTTCTGTCTTACTCTCTTAATCTGTTAATCTAGTTATATAAACAATTAAATTCCTTAAAGTGGACCTTCAACATCTTTTAGGCTAATATGAAGAAATTATAAGCTTTAACTAGTTTTTTGCCGTTTCTTGCATGGTGCAGGAAACAATCAAAATAATTTGCTTCCCAAGTCAGTTTTCTTATGTAAAGACCCAAAACCAAAACTTAGACGTTACAGAGACGCTTGAGAGTCAACATTGTTTGCAGACCCAGCCAAAATAAGTGAAAAGGGTGAGTATTCTTATTTCTACTTTTTTTTTGGGGGGGGGGGGGGTTGCTTGAGACTGCTCTGTTGTAATTGTCCATTTTCAATTTGTCTAATGATAAGCAACTTTAAAGCAGGGATATTATTTTAGAACACCTGCATTCCATTTTCCATTTGCAAAATATATTTATTTTTATTTTTACATTAACAAGTTAAGGGAATAGAGTTAAACAATATGGAGTGAAGTTTTGAGAGTTATAGTTAAAGATTTAAATGAATTCTTATTATTAAAAAAAGTAAAAAAAAAAAAAAATAACCAACTACATTACACTGCTTACATTCTGTTTTAATTTTTTATTTTGTACAGATTCAGAATAAAAGTAGTACGTACAAGTAGTAAAAAGTGCTGAAAGAAAAGAAACATGACTTCTGAAAGGTAAGAATTTCATGTTAGCTATTTTCATCTAGATATAATTTTTTAAAATGAACTCAAAAGTCTTTGTCATTTGTAAACATTTGTTAACTTCAACTCCTATGAAGGACAACTCTTCTAATCACAGTGATTTTTTTTAATGTATTTGTTTCTGTAAAAAACCTAATTGTTGCTTTTGGGTTTCCATCTCATATACACTGAGGTTCTGTTCATAAACTGAAAGACAGAAGCGGATACAGCAATTTTCAAATAGGAGGGCATGTCCAGGTAATCTTCAAGAAAACCCTGGGGGCCCTACAGAATTCTTGAAATTTTTGCCTTAAAATTGAGATTTTTTTTGCCAAAACGGGAGGGGCAGCTCGGTTTGGCGGTCTTTTAATCCGCACTTGAAAGACTTTCTTTACTCAGTGATTCAGCACTTTTGATTATCTCTAGCAGCTATATTGGTTTCTCAACTGTCAAGTCAAACTGAAACTTTATTTCTATAAAACTTTATTCCAGGTGGGCAAAAAAAATAATTTTAAAACAGAAGTGTGTTCAGCTGCTTAAACAGCAATTTTCTGAGAATGCATTTCTGTTTGGCTCCCCAACTTTAAAATGGTTTGTCAGAAAGAAACGAAACACGATTATCAAGTTTACGTATAATTTCTCCTATACAGAAGTGACGAACTTA